GGAAGTGGCGCTGTAGCTCAAGTGGTAGAGCGCTCGCCTTGAGCTGAAGAGCTGAGGGACAGCGCTCAGGCCCAGAGTTCAAGCCCCATGACCGACCAAAAAAAAAAAAAAGAGTCTCACAAGGACTTTTCTGCCCAGGCTGGCTTTGAACCACGATCCTCAGATCTCAGCCTCCTGACTAGTTAGGATTACAAACATGAGCAACTGGTGCCTGGCTTATTTTTTTAGTTTTTGACATGATCTCAAGGCTACTTTTTCCTGGGCTTGCCTCAAATTCATGACCCTATCTTTCCTTCCTGAGCAGCTGTGATTACAGGCATGTGGCATCATGCCCAGCTAGCTCATTTCCCTTTCTAATGTCACTTAAGTTATTTTAATTGTAAGCTAACACTGTGGTTGGTTAAAATCTAGCTATTCTGTAGGGCTCTGGTAGCTCACACCTGTAATCCTACCTACTCAGGAGACAAGAGCTGAGGATCACAGTTTGAAGCCAGCCTGGGGTAAGAAAGTCTGTTAGACTCTTTTTTTTTCCTTCTCTGGTCCTCGGGCTTAAACTAAGTGCTTAGGCACTGTCCCTGGGTCTGTGCTAAGGATAGTGCTCTATCACTTGAGCTACAGCACCACTTTCCCCATTTTTAAAGTAGTTTATTGAAGATAAGAGTCTCAAGGACTTTCTTGCCCTGGCTGGTTTTGAACCATGACCCTCAGATCTCAGCCACCTTGAGTAGCTAGGATTACAGGCATGAGCTACCAGTGCCCAGCTCTGTGAGACTCTTATGTCTAATTAGCCACTAAAAAGCTAGATGTGGAGCTGTGGCTCAAATGGCACAAAAGCACTGGGAAAATGCCCAGGCCTCAGGATTAGAACAAAAACAAAACAAAACAATAGCTGTTCTGTATCTAAATCAGGACTATTCATCATTCTTATCAGTCAGTTAGACTAAAATGGCAAGCAATTCAGTGAGAGCTGACATACATGGTAAGACAGGACAAGGGGCTAATAAACCTATTGCTACAAGGTGTCTGAAGAAATATGGGAATAGAAGTTCCTTGATGAGATTCAGAGCATATAAACTATCCTTTGTTTCAGAATATAATCAAGAACAGAATTCTACCAATTTACTTTTCAAATTCAATTCACAAATTATACACAGAAATAACATTGGTTATGAAATTAATGAGATGGTTCTGTGTTCTACAGAAATATGCCTTGTTGAATTGCTGGGCTAGAAGAATTTTTACCTTAGAGTACAGTACTGCGGCTCCTATATAATTCTTCTCCTGGAATTTTTTGTTTCCTTCTTCTCTGTAGAAAAAAGGAGCATCAGGATCCTTTCCTACCGAATAACCTCTAGATAGCTTCTTCAAAAACATCTCATCCTCAGGTCTTCGTGAAGAAAGAAGAAAAAAAAGAAACAAGCACAGAGATTAATTATTTCAAGGTAGGCACCAAATCACTGCACTTGAAATTAGAATGTGCCTAGAACACAAGAGCATGTGGTCTGTATATACTATGTAATACAACCGGAGGAGAGCATCTGTGGTTTCAAAGACATATAAACCACGATTTCTACCCAGAGGAAAGAGTTTTATCCTTCATCTCGTACTCACTGGCCAATCAATTATTTCTTGGATCATATATTAGATAGAAGCTTGGGTGTGGAAAATAAGGTATCTATTCAAATCCTTCTTTCAGTTCTTCAGAGTATAAACCCAGAAGTGGGATTATTGGATCACATGGTAATTTTGTATTTTCCTTCCTTCCTTCCTTTCCTTCCTTCCTTCCTTCCTTCCTCCCTCCCTTCCTTCTTTCCTTCCTCTCTCTCTCTCTTTCTTTCCTTCCTTCCTTCCTTTTCTCTCTCTCTCTATTTCTGTTTATAATCCCTTTTCTTTTTTTTATTGTGAAAATACTGTACAGAGGGGTTACAATTACATGGGCAAGATAATGAGTACATTTCTTTTTTTTGGGGGGGGTCCAGTTGTGGAGCCTAAACCATGGGCCTGGGCGCTGTCCCTCAGCTCTTCAGCTCAAGGCTCTACCACTTGAGCCACAGCACCACTTCTAGCTTTTTTCTTTTTGCTTATGTGGTGCTGAGGAATCGAACCAAGGGCCTCATGCATGCAAGGTAAGCGCTCTACCACTGAGCCACCTTCCCAGCATGAATACATTTCTTATCAAGCATTGTAGCCTCCTCCTTTGTTTCCCCTTTCCATCCTCCCCCCACCCCACCAAAGTTGTAAAGTTCGTTTTCAACATGATGACTTGTACATCTCATTGTTGCAATGGGTCCACCTGTATCCCTATTTAAACGATTTGTTTTTTCCCTTTCCCTCCACAAATTATACCGACATCAAATACAGTGAAAGCAGGGGTTATACCGTGGGGGAGGGACATACAAAGCAACAAAGATCTCCTTCCTTCCTTCCTTCCTTTCATCAGTTTGTGGGGGCTTGAAAACTGGGCCTGGGCACTGTCCCTTAGCTCTTCAGCTCAAGGCTAGCGCTTTACCACTTGAGCCACAGTGCCACTTCCGGTTTTCTGGTGGTTTATTTATAAGAGTCTCATGGACTTTTCTGCCTGGGCTGGCTTTGAACTGTGATCCTCAGACCTCAGCCTTCTGAGTCGCTAGGATTACAGTCATGATCCCAGATTTGTATTTAACTTTCAAGCAACAGTCATACCATGTTCCGTGACTGCTGCATCATTTCACATTACCATTAGCAATGTACCAGGGGTTGCAACTTCTCCACATTTTCCTACCACATCTCCAGGTGTGTGTGTAGGTAGTGTCCTGAGATTGAAATCAGGTCTAAGCTTTTGTGCTCAAGACCAGTGCTCTACACTTGAACCACAGTTCCACTTCTGTCTTTTTGGTGGTTAATCAGAGATAGAGTCTCACGGACTTTCTTGTCAAGGTTGGCTCTTCAGTAGTCAGGATTACAGGTGTGAGCCACTGGCTCCTGGCTTCATTAAGTATGCTTTTGAATTCATAGTACTTCAATGTTGGTGAAGATAAGCTTTATCTCTTGGCTAAATAGAAGTTACCAGATCGCTTTGATGTAAAGATTCTTTTCTGCCATACTGAATGAGATGTCTGTGTGGCATATTTTGAGACTATGAGAGCAGCCAGTTTCTGAGCAATCTTTCTTCTAATAGCTTAGAATCCACTGGTGACTATTGCCAGGCTCACATAATATGCTGGGGGACTACAAAATGGTGATTTTCTAAATCTACCACTTTTAAATTTACTGACTGGCATTCTTCTGTAAAGACAAATTTCCCCCTTTGTCTTTTACTTATTTATGTATTTTGAGTATAACTATGGCCTTTTAAAAATTCATTGTTATAAACCATTACCATTGTACTTATTTTGTGCTCTAACTTTGGCTGGTAGGAAATTGTTCATTCTTTTTGACACAAATTCTACTCTTCAAGTACCTCCTTGCAATCAGGCACAACTAGGTATTCCACTTGAATTAGTATAAAATCAAACTAGTAAGGCTGTGGGGTAGATAATGAAACAGCGAAGGATTTCCTTAACTGCTAATAAAGTATCAGCTGTAAGATGGGGGAGGCCCTCTGTCAATAAAAGTTTTTCAAATATTGGTAAGAGGTAACTATTTTGGGTAAACTTTCCTCAAAGAATGTAAATTGACAAGAAAGAAGAAAATATGCTTCACTATTTCCTTTATATTAGTATATGTTGATACAAAAGTTTTACTGAGATATTTCCATTCATATATAAAGAAAATTTACCCTCTCTATTACTTTCTTTTTTTCCTCTATATTACTTTCTTATTCCCCCTACCCATTTAAAATTTTATTTTTAATTTATAGTATTTGGGGGGGGCATGATACTGGGTTTTGAGCTCGTGACTTTATGTTCTTGCTTGGCTTTTTCAACTCATGGCTGATGTGCTACCAATTGAGTCTTACCTCCACTTCCATTTTTTTGCTGGTTAATTGGAGATAAGAGTATCCCAGATTTCTCTGCTCTAGCTGGCTCTGAACTGTGATCATCAGATCTCAACCTCCTGAGTAGTTAGAATTATAGGTATGAGACGCCAGCTCCTGCTACCCTTTAAAAAATTTTTTTCAACCACTTTCATTATTCTGTTTTCATACATATGAATGAAGTACTTCACTTAAATTCACCCCTCTTTACCCTATCCTTTCATGATCCCTCCTCCCACTGGTTCCCATCCCAAAACAGTCTCTCATTTTTTTTCCTTTTTCATTCATTCTTTATTTACAGCAAAGTACAGAGTATATGATCTTGTTTTGTTTTCGTTTTTGGAAGTGCTAACAATAAAAGTATGGTAGTAAAAAGCAGAAGCAGAAGAGAATGCATCTTGGAGGGAAAGAAAAGCCCAAGTATTTATTTAGCTGCTCGACCTGGTTCCTGTGCAGGCCTGGCTGTGCACTCACTTCCTCTAGAGGACGAGACCCCCATTTCCTGCATCTGCCACCATGAGGGCACAGAACACCCAGAGACAGAAAGTGTGAAAGAGGACTTCAAGCTTCAGAGCAGTCCCAATCATGCCCTTTGCAACCTGTCTTCTTCCTTGTCTTGTCTGATGTCAGTAACCTTCCTCCATTCTGCCTGGAGACAAGTGCAAAGGGGAAAGGAGGTAGAGAAGGCCCACTGGTCCTTCTATAGGTATTGTCCTATCTGTCAGGACCAACCCCCAGCCTCAACTACAACAGCCCTTTCATTCCCTAGCACTGGAATCTTTGACAGGCACATAGGAGACTTGGGGCAGTGGAAAACATTTCCCTGCAGAAATACTTCTGACAGTCTTGGGTACTATCATGAATCAAGCTAATTCAAGGGCTGCTAGAAGGCAGGTAATAATACCAACCATCCAACTCAAGCCAACCAGACTTGTATATCTCCACCTCCTGGCTGCTCTGAGGAGCACACAAGCCTCCAGACCTAGTGGCCTTATGGGGACAGGATCCCATTCCAAGCCAGGGAGTGGCTGGAACCAACCTCCTCTTGATCATGAAGCAACCAGGATCAGAAGTATTAGTTCCAAGAACATGTGAGCTGGAGATTCCTCCCTTTGGCCTATTCTGTACATATCCCACAGTATAACTCACTACCTCCCCAGGCCCTGCCCATCCACCTTCTTTGGGCAGGTTTCCATCTTTGCTCATTCTAGCTTCAGACTGCCTGAGAATGGGACACTTGGATCAGAAATTCTTGCATTGTGTGAGTGTGAGGCCAGTCTTCTCATGACAAAGACTTAGACCATAGACAAGTGAGCAGGGAGAGGAAAGGAGCACCACTGGGTGGCTCTGAAGCCAAGGAATTCCTGTGCACATGTGACTAACTTCACCCTGCTGAGCTCATCTGTGCCCCACCCCTACCCCTGACAGCTCAGTGCCTGAGAGACAACAGTCATGATTTCTGCCCAAATAATTCTCCCCCTGCCTCTCCAGTGGCATTGGAGACCCAGAGGCTCTTGAAAGTCAGATCACATTGTAAGTTCAAACACAGATACACAAGTGGCTAAATCCTAGTTTGCCACAAAGGGGTAGAGTCTCTCATCTACTCCCTGTCCCAGACACAGTGTATCACAGTACCCAGGGCATCACAACGTCCAGGGTCTGACACCACAGACCCTGAACACTGCCCAAGAACCCTTGCCAAGCCGCCAAGAACTGGTGATGATTTCCCCAAGAGTAGGGGCAGGACAGCTGGGAGCTGTGTCCTAACTTGGAGGGGGTGCTGCTCAGAGATCCTGGAGGCTTGGTCTCAACACTACAGGTAGATGAGGAAGGGGATAAGTAAGTAGAAGCTCAGAGATGAAAGAATCCATCTTCCAAGGCAGTGGGATAGATAGCCAAGCCACTAAATGGTTTGGCACCTAGGAGCTTCAAGTATAGTTAAGCATGCTACCCATTGAAAGGCCAAGGCTCTCCTGGGTAGGGAGATGGGCTTCACCTGAGCACACAGTCCCTCATTTTAGACTTGTGTCATTCAATTTTTAGTGATGTCTAACTTTAAAGGCCCAATTCACACTTTTATTTAATAGGAGTGGTTATGGATATTAGAGGTTCTATTAGAACTTTAAACTTCTAATATCTTGTTTGATCTCTTTAGATCATGACTGAATAGTCTTATAATCGCTTTTAGCTATTTTTTTCTTTTTAATCTTTTTTAAATACTAAGGGTTTTTGTGCTTGCTAGGCAGACACACTCTATCACTTGAACCATGCTGCCAACCCTCAGATGGCTTTTCCCCACTGGGGCTCAAACTCAGGAGCCCAGCACTTTCTCAGAGTGCTTGATTACTGCTGGCTCTCTATCAATTCCAGTACACCTCCAGTCTGGCTCTATGCTAGTTATTTTGGAGATGGAGTCTTTTGGATTTTTTTGT